GGGGGGGGTCCTGGAGCTGTTCTAGTCCTGACAGTTGGATCAGATACAATACAATAGCTTCATTGAGAGTTCGGTTCAAGACCAGTATCTGGAGGGCAGTTTAGCAGTAGGGTTCTTAAATCTATAGATGTCTGGATATAGGACCTTACAAACTGTCAAGTTACTTTTTTCCCCCCTTCCATTTAATTTAGTGCATTCTCAAAGTCTTAGGAGCACTGTTAAAGCTGACTTGATGCCTTTCACATTTTATGGTGAAAGGTGAAGCATGGCTTGGAAGTGATGGAACTGCAAATGTTGGGCATCTGTTGAATTTCCACCACACATCAGATTCCTCAGTTTGGGTTCTTGGTACAGAGTCGGGACACCAGTCCCAAATCAGTCTGATTTATCAGAATGTATATCAGTGTACTTGAATGCCTGGGGTTGTCAAGCCTTATGTAATCACTTTGTTAATTTATAATCTTGTTACATTGCTTTCCAGATTTATAAAATCATTCCCTTAAGGAAATCTGTCTTCAACGTCTGCTTAAATATTTCTCTTGGAATCGGATTCCTGAAGAGGAATGTACTGTACAAGTGGTGATTAAAGCATACTAATTAGACAAGTTTCTTTAAATTATTGATTCTTTTATCTTACCATCTGATTTTCCCTATTAGGAAAACACATGACATTCCCATTTTATAGACTTAGAAATGAGAGAAATTACATGACATTCCCAAGGTCATGTATTGCAGCAATATAATAATTGAAAATCAAGTGCATGGTCTTAACTTTTCTTAATACTCCATCTTCCAGGCTTCCCAGGCAGGAACTTTGGGTGCCGCCATTCTATTTATTTATTTTTTTTTAATTTATGCAGTCAGTTTTTATTTTGTGCACAAAAGTGACTCTCACCCTATTAATTTTTTACTATTCTGAGTAAATTTTTCTGTATTGCAGTAAGATGCATTCCTTTAAAACATATGAGAACTCGGAAGTTATACTAATTTTAATTTTTCTAAAACAGCAATATAAATGGGGTCTTTAAAATGAAGGCTTTTAAATGTCCTTATTAAAATTGAAGGGCTTTCATGATATTTTTACTGGTCACAGGAAATTCTATTTGTCTAAACTTTACTGTGGGTGTTTCTCTTCACATGGAAAGTGAAACTAAATAGAAAAAAAGCTATTTATTTTTGGAGCTATCAAGCAGCCATGGTTCTAAGCTTTGGTATAAACAAGGCATGATTTCTTCGCTGCAGCAGCTTGTCTGAGCCTGGGAGCTCATCACACTGCCCAGGAAAAAGGGTACAAGTGAACTTTCCACATGATGAGAAGTTTAGGAATTAAACACATAAGTGAGGAACTCTAAAGACTTGGTTGAACTATATGCCAGTTGTTTGCGTAATAACCAAAAGATAGAGTTTTTAGCCAAGATGCTTTAATAGGAAAACCATTCCTGAGAATTTAGGCACTTCCCAGCCTGCATGGTAAATTCTTAGAGCAGGTGAAAAATCTATGTGCAGGTAAATTCTTAAAGCAACTTTGGTGGAAAAGTTGACTGGATTCTAGCAGTTTTGAAGGTAAACTTAACCATGATCATTTATTCATGGAGCTTTTGTGTGTCTATTTTTGGGGCCCTGGGTTAGAGGGTAACAATAGAAAGGAGCTTCCCGGCTTTTGGGGACACCGAGGTAAACAATAACAGTAGAGTCTGGTGAGGCATAGACAAAGGCCTGCAGAAGCACAGAGATGGGGACAAGGACGCTGACTTGGGAATGTTTCACAGAGGAGGCGATGGTTGAACTACTTGAAGGACGGCTAAGGTTCCTAGGCAGAGAAAAGGGGAAAGGGCTCAGAGTTCAGGGAGGATGAGAACAAGGTCAAGTGCTGGATGAAGAACTTAGATCCAACTGGGTGAAAGGACTTGAGGTAGAGACAGTGCAGCTGTTCTTTTTTTTTTACAGAATATGAAAAGGAAGGGGGAGGAGTGGGGTGTAGCTTTGGGGATGGAGGGAGAAGTATCTTGGTATTTTGTCCCAGTCTGGGAAGAGCTGATGTAAAATCTCTCAGGCTCTGGTCATGTGAGTGAACTCTGGAAGCGCGTTGTCTGCACTGGATAAGCTGGAGCTACATTATTCATACTGTGGATCATTTCCTCATCTGTTTTTCTGTACATCTGCTTTGGGTAGAGGCCTTATGTCCCATGAGAAACCATTTCTTGCTGCTGGTACGGGAGGAGCCTGTCTAAAGAGGATTTCTGCTCTACCTTCCCTGAACATTTATTTCTCTGCTGTCACTTTCCAGAGCCTCCTGAGATTCTGCTTTGGCATCTCCAGCATTTGGCCTCTGCTCAGGTAGGCTCTTCCTTGACAAATCAGGCCTCACTCCCTCTCCTTACTTGTTGTGTCGTACCCCCTCCCCCCACCCCCCTTCCAGCCTCCCCTCCCCCCACCCCCAACTGCTGCTCTGTGGCTACTCAGTAGTTACTCAAAGTCTGAGGGCATTATCTGCGCATGCGCTGTATGTGGGGTTTAAGTTGTGGAGCGTCCCAGCCTCGAAGGGAGATTGGGTATGTTTGTCTTTCTAAACTCGCACTCCCTCAACTGTATACTGGCCCGGAAATGTAATGTGGGTTAGGAAATCAGTGCTCCAGCAGTGGGGCTTACAGGACCTGTAACTGGTCGAGTGGGCTGCCCCGCACCTCTGTTATTGACATGCAGTTATCTTTCTCAAAACCAGAAGACTGTCAGCTCCTTGAGGGCAGAGCCCACGTCTTTGATTTCTGTATCCCCAGACCAGAGTAATGCCTCGGTAATAGGCAGCCTACCCAAGAAAAGACTTGATGAAGAAAGTTAAAAACTCTGAACTTGGTGGATTTTATCAGCCCATTAATAGAAACATACCCATTTTAACACAGCTGGGTTGGATTTAAATTGTTTGGCATTCACAGAACTGTAGAGCTAGAAGCATGTCTTCCACTCTCTCCTTACATGGAGTCCGTGTTCAGGAAATGTGTGGTGCTGGCTGGTAGTGGCACCTGTGGGAATGGCACCGCCTGCTCCCACTGTTCGCTAGAGGCATAGGTTTCCCTCGCTTTGCCCCTGGGCATTGAGATCTTAGATTCCGCTTCCTAAACGGGTCTCCATTCCTTCCTCATCCTCCCTGCCCAGCGACTGGCTCCCCTCACTTTTCAGTCTTTAAGTCTTCATTTACCTGGAGACATTTTCAGTTGTCCCTTACCTGTCGCCCAGCTCTCGTCTCGCCCTTCGAATCCTGTCTTCACTTTGCTGCCAGAGTGGTTTGCTTAGCTGTCACCTCTGATCGCCGTTCCCCTGCTCAGAACTCTTCTTTGGCTTCTTAGTGCCACCTTTGATTTGCTTATTTAATAAAATGTATCTGTATATTTGGGGTCGGTGCTGTACTCGGCAGGCCCTGGGATACAGAGCTGGGTAAAACGGATGTGGGCCTTACATGAACCGAGCTTACCATTTAGTCTAGTGGGGGACAGACTTTTAGTCACGTGATCACACACATAATTCTATCACCACAGTTGTGAAACAGGCTGTAATGGAAAAGGATGTGGTGCTGTGAGAGGGCATGGAGCCTGGTGTGCACGGGTGTGAGGAGGAGAAGATGGTGGCCAGGAGGGCAACCTTTCACCTGGGCCCTAGAGCACAGGCAGAGCTGGCCAGGGGAGTAGCAGCTGATCCGCCTGGAATCCGAGGCCCTTGGGTATCTGGCCCCGGCCCTCGTGTCTGACCTTTTCTCTTAGGCTCTGCGTGTATCATTGTCCCAGTCACGCTAAGGTCTCTCAGGCCCCTTCTGGAAAAAGCCTTTTCCCACCATCACTGTTTTCAATTTTTAGCTCAAACACACACAAAATGAATTTCTTTGAGATACCTCCTATGAACTCCCCAAGGCAGATTTAGGAGAAAGAACACCTCTTCTGGCATGTCTGTCCCTAAGAAAGTGTAAACAACTTGAGGCAGAGACCTTCATAGTATGTCCAGTAGAAGCGTTTAGGGTCAGTTTGTGGGGCCAATTATTGGGGAGGGTACTGATATGAAAATAAGATGGGGAGCTAAGGATCCAACCCCTCTCAAATATCAGACTCTCCTGGAAAGAAGGCCAGTTCTGAAAAGTGGTGGAAAAAAATTGTATGATTTCGATGCCACTCACGCCTTGTTCATGTGTAT